TGAAAGAAGAGAATATGGTATTTCTCCCGACCTCTCTCTCTCTCTCTCTCTCTCTCTCTCTCTCACACACACACACACACACACACACACACACACACAGAGAGAGGAGCTGGACCCAGTGATTCCAGCTCTGCAGTTCTAAAATTATTGTTATCCTTATTAAGCACATTAGCAACATCACGGTTCATCACCTTCTGTTCCTTTTCACTCTGGCATTACTTGCATTCAGTGTGTTGGGGAAAGCGGCTGATGTTTATCTTTCATGGCAAAGAGCAGCAGACGTTGGCTGCGTCCCCACCTGCATCCACCACCACAGGCGGATTAAGTGGTGGGGCTAAATAAGCAAGCACCAACTTCCCCGTTGTGAGGTCATTGCTCCCCACGCCATGCAGGCAAATGGATGTGCATTTGAACACTCCCTCCCCTCATCGCCTCCCCAGGGTAAGCAGAAGAGGATTCCTCACTTCAAAATGGCACGGAGAGGTGTGGAAAACATTAACCACAAATACTAAAAGCTCAACACACAGGCGCTTCCAGTAATACTTTCTCCAGGGGCCTTGCTGGAGCCTTCCTTAACACACAGGCGCTTCCAGTAATACTTTCTCCAGGGGCAAAAAATGCCTCTTGCTGGAGCCTTCCACAGGGCACCTCTTCTTTCACGTACCTGGGCTTTGGGTGCTGGTGCTGCTTGTTCTTCTGCCCTTCTTGCTCTCCTTCTCCTTGCCCCCTGCTCCAAAAAACTTGCCTCGGCTCCTGTTTCTCCTGGTCTGTTAGGTTCAAGCATGTGTTTGATACACAGTCGCTATTGGCATTGGCTTCCTCCCTGCCCACCTGTAAAACAACAGCTGCTACTGGCTTTTCTATTGGGGGGAGGCTTCTCCATCCAGAATCAAGGGGAAGAAGCACTTCGTTGATTAACTACCATTCCAGATGTTGATGAACTGCTCCTTCCATCATGACTTGCCCAGGTTAAGAAGGGTTTATGGGAAGTTGAAGAACGGGGGTGAGGGGGAGGCTTGTTTCTCATCCCAGCACAATCCTAAAGGCTGGCTTTGTTTCTGACATGTTAGGCAACATCCTGTGGCTTAGCATAATAAAATGCACTAGAGTAGGTCTATTGGATCAATGTGGATCTGGTTAGCCAACTCCTCCTTAAGTTCCACTGATTCAAATGGGTCTATGCTAAAGTAAGTGACAATCAGAGTGGGCCTATTTGAATGCATGGAACTCACAGAGGAGGTGATTCATCTAATCCCCACAGATTCAATGGGCCTACTCTAGTGTAATTTACTACACTGAGCACCAAAATGTTGGCCATTACCTGTCAAAGCGCAGAGAGATCCCCATGTCAGGATCATGTATAGCCACAGTAATCCTCAAATGCTGACAAGATACAACTCAAATACAGACTGATCACATCGGCAACCATTCAGGCAAAGAATTAAGAGACAATACTGTACTTGGTGCTTTCACTGAGAAGGACTTTCTCTTTGCCCTGCATTACTTCTGAAACCTTTTTGAAAACCACTGTTTATCATTAAAGAAACAGCAATAGGGCTGCCGTGACACTCCCAGCATCATTTTAACCAGAGTCTGACCTAATGACAGACTGCATGCAAACCACTGGTAAGGCCTCTTGCACTTTAATAATTCATCTGGAACTGGAAGTCTGGGCAAATGACAGGACAAGCTGTACCTGCAGACTTTAGCTTTTAAAGATAGAGGAGACCCCGACTGACATTTGCATTGGCTCTTGAGTTGCAGCAAGATTAGCATCTCCTTGATGAGATAACTGGCTTTCTTGCTACTGGAGCACAGATCAGGGTATCCACCAACAATGAGGAAAGTGGTCTCCTCCAGATGTTGAACTGCAGCTCCCATAATCCCTGACCATTGGCTATGGCTGCTTGGCCTGATGGGACTGGCAGTTCAGCAACACCTGGAAGTATGTGTGTTACCTACCCTTGCTTTTCACCCTTGGTCTCTTAGATGAGTTGCAAAAGACAGAAGCAAAAGGAAACCTTCTAGGGACATCTTCAGGCAGCCTTTTGCCTACTGAGCTGCAACAGCCTCTACAGTTCCTTCCTAATTCAAAAAGCTATTTTTGCCCAGTGAGCAGAGGAGCCAGGAGGTGGCCACAGGAGGAAACATCAGAAGCTGTTGGCATCGTGCATGAAATAAACAGATTCTGTGCTGGCTGTGTCATCTCTTCCAACATTAGGGATGGACATTTGTGACCTTCCAGATGTTCTTGACCACAGTTCCTCATTGCAGGCCATATGGGCTAGGAAGGACTGGTGGGATGTGGAACTGAAAACAACTGGAGGACCACTGTTGCTCACCCCACATACCACTGATATCTTGAGAAAGGAAGTGGAAGGACAAAAACGTGAATGGCCAGTAGTCAAGCAGACATGGACATTCAGAGGTGAGCAAGTGCTGCCAACGATTCAGGAGTCCCCTCCATCATTATCTTTGAGCATCCTAGACAAGTGGCGAACAAATGCGTAGCTCTCTAGATATTTGTGCATTTTTATTTCTCATCATCCCTCTCCACTGGCTACACTTGCTAGAATGGATTGGAAATGCTGGCCACCCACATCTGGAGAGCCACAGATGCCCAGTCTCACTGCCCTGGAAGGAAAGAGATAACTTTTTTAGATCTATCTTAATACTTAACCTTTGCTGACTCAAGAATGCTCTCCAGATGCTTCTGGCCACATCTGTCATCTTCACCGCTGATCATTATCCATATAAATCAGGCCCAACATGAGTTGTAGTTCTAAACATCTGGAGGACACCGAGTTGGGGGGGAGGAGACTGTTGCACACAGGCACACATAAGGGGGAGGGGGATGCTGTATTACAGGGTTAGAGGATCTCCAAGAGAAAACATATGTTTGACATTCAGAAGACCCTAGAGGTTCAATTCCTTCCAGTTTAAAGGATACAGCAACAGGTCATGGGGGGGGGGACCCTCTCTCTGAGATTTTTGCATCGCCTCTGCAGATCTGTTTATAAAAGACTGTAAAGGGGCTCAGAATGAGTGGGCCCCAGCCTTTGGCCCACCATGCGTTTGGGGCTTCAGCTCCCTGGATGCCAACCATTGACTCTGCGGGAGGGTAAACCCGAATATTTGGAGGGCCAGAAGATGAGAGAACTACCAGGGCAGGCCTGAGCCTTGAGCCAGGAACCAACCTCCGAACTTCCCTGCACCGGCTCTTCTTGATCACAGCTCAGACCAGGACCATTTTTAAAGAAAACATTTATTTACACATTTCAGCAAGTACAAAGTATAATACAGGGCCTGGATCAACCTCAACGGTTCCTTCTTCTTCTTTTATTATGAAACATAAGGCGCTTTCTCTACATCAACGGTGGGCAAAGGGCGTCGGATGCGCGAAGGAGGTGAGGAGGGCGCTTTCTGGTGCTTCTCTGCCGCCGTCATCCTCATTTCTTGCCAGAAGGGGTTGGGAATCCTCCACCCCCACCCCCACGAAAAATCAAATGACGCTTGGTGGCTGCGTTTGCTTGAAAGGGAAGCCCTGATTCCCGTGGCGAATACATTGCCCACGGCGTTAACGTCGCTTAGGGGACAGCTGGGGGCAGACGGCTTTTCAGCTTAAGAGGCTTTCTGCTGAAGATAATGCATTTATTTTCCTTTGCTAAGTGATTATCCGGGGGGCGGGGCGAGTAGGAGTGGGTGACGGGGCACATCCCAGGTGGAAGTCCGAAATGGGCGAAAAGCAGCTCCCCATCCAGAGTTCTGCGCTGCGTGTGCGCCCTTCTAGGGCCATCCTAAAAGACGTGTCCGGCTGTCCGTATATAAATAATCCCCATCCTCTTTGTCGCTTTCCCTCCCTCTCTCCCCCCCATATTAACAGTGCTCGGCATCGCGGTGCGGTGACGGGGCACATCCCAGGTGGAAGTCCGAAATGGGCGAAAAGCAGCTCCCCATCCAGAGTTCTGCGCTGCGTGTGCGCCCTTCTAGGGCCATCCTAAAAGACGTGTCCGGCTGTCCGTATATAAATAATCCCCATCCTCTTTGTCGCTTTCCCTCCCTCTCTCCCCCCCATATTAACAGTGCTCGGCATCGCGGTGCATAAATAAATTAAATTATTAACATTTCTGAACATCGCCTTCCCCCTCCCTCCCCCACCCCCTCCCCCGGGTCCAAAAGCGACTCCAGTCCCCTCCTTTCCTTTCCCCTTCATGGGCCAGCTCCGGGCAGGGTGAGGCCGGCGGG